ATCACACAGGTTGGCACATCACGACTGCTTGGAAGTGTTTAAAAAAAATTTCATGCTCATCTCCTATTTCCCCTATTTCTGGCAGGCAGGAAGTACTTGGGAATAGCACCCCGATAGCCAGCCTGGGAAAAGCAGCTGTGCCACATTCCTGTTCCCAGCCCTGGGCAGCTCCTTGCTGCAGCTGGGGCAGCAACAGCCCACATGGCCCGAGTTCCCTGTGCTTCAGGCTGAAGCTGTCTGGGGGTTATGAAAAGAGCAGGAGAAGGTGAGTGCCCGGGCCCCTAATGGCTTAGGACAACAGCAGATTTTTCTCTCCAGATCTCAGTGTGCTGGGTAACAAGCACTAGTCTTTGCAAAAGCAGCAAACCCCAAGTATGGTCCTTCCTTGCTTTTATATTGAGGGGTCAAGAGGGGTTGGGGGCATTTTCCTGTGCTCTGCTTCAAACAGCTGCCCTTCTGAGCTGCTATTGACAAGTCTGTGCCTTTCTGACAGCCCTCAGAGGCGCTCATAAAATGGTTTCTTTTCTGTTGCAGGTAGTACCGAGCCTGAGCTGAGTGCGGGGAGGGAGCCCATAAGTGCTGGGAGAACAACCAGAATATGAGTCAGAACAGCCACTTTCCATGGTCTACCACAGACCGCCAAGAGCTTCACTCCTTGGGCTCACAGCCGGCCACACTGACCTGCAGCAATGGGGCCGAGCAGCTCAGACAGCTTCTGGAGCCTGCCAGTGGGACAGCCAGCCCCCAGGACGATGATCAACCCTCCCGAAGAGTTGAGGGGGAGCACGGGGGCCCAGGGGATGAACATCTGGAAGCAGCAGAGGAGCTGGGAGAGAAGCAGGGTGAGCAGGGGCTGGGGACAGACGCCAGCAGTGAGAGCGACCGCGAGGATGGGCCGGAGCTGGTGAACGGCGTGGACACAGAGCTGGCTGTGGGGCAGGAGGAGGAACCACTGCAGCAGCGGGACGGCTGTGTGCCCAGACAAAGCAGCATGGATTCTGGGGAGAGAGCCTCTCCCACCCAGGAGATACCTAGCGAGGTCCTCAGCAAGGAGCAGTGTTACAGCATCCTGGGCTCCTCAGAAGTTCTAAGTGCCCACGAGTCAGAGGAGCAGCTCGGGTGAGTGTGGAGCCATTGTAACGTCAGCTCAGTGCTGGTTTGCGTGTGTTGTTTCGCAAGCCTCCTTGGTTCAAGTTACTCTTCTCCGTGTGTAACTCATCAGTTTAAAAAGCTGCAGTTGCTGTCATGGCTGACTGTGGCTTTTCCCTCTTTTTCTTTCTGTGCTTCTTACACTGCTTTTCCCTGTTAACAAATGCAGAAAATCTGTGATTAGAGTCAGTGTCTGCCACAGAGTCACTAAAATGAAGGACAAGCTTTAGGGATCTCAAGAGTGCTGTGTGCTCATTGTGCTCACTTTGGGGGTGTCCCATTTGCAAGTTGGAGATTCAGCTGCAGCACTTATGGCAGAGTTACCCAAGATAACTTAGGACAAGTTTGACATCTGGGGGACAGTAAGGAGCAGGGCGTGTCCAGGAGCCTGGCATGCCCTGGAAGTCCCTGGGCTATCAGGTCACAGCTTTTCATCCAAACGACCATGCCATTAGTTTTTACTAGGGGGCAAGGCACTGAGATTTTCTCCCTACTGCACCTGTGGCAGGTGTTACCAGTGCCTGGGTGGCACAGGCGTAGCAGTGACAGACAAGAGACATGACTGTCACCATGTTCTCAAATGTCTGAGACAAACCAGTATGTGTGCAATGCCCCCTGGTCTGTGTGTCCCCTGTACTAGCAGCCTGTTTCCACAGGAGAACTCTCCAGGCTGGGGGACACTGACATCGGTGCGGTGTCCACAGATGATTTTATGCCTCTGCAAATGCCTGGACTACCTGGGGCTCTGCAGGTTGGGAGTTGAGGGAAAGGACAAGTCACTGGGACGAGGTGGGGTATTTCCCATGCCATCCCTGTCAGCAGAATGGATGCTTCCCTTTACCACTAGAAATCATCTAGGGGTCTGTATTGTAGCCAGCTGGGGTTTATGGCTGCTGTGAATCTCGTGGCCCTACCTACATAGCTACTGCAGCACAGGAGAGATGGTGCAAGCAGGAGGGGACTGGAGAGATCTCTAGTCTTGAACAGGCTCCCCTATAAAAAGCTGGTGGCTTGATTTACCCAAGACCCCCAGCAAGAGGGAGGAGCACCTTCTCAACAAGTACAGTTGAAGGTATTGAAGAGGAAGAGTGTCCAATGCAGGCTCTTGGTGTCCAGAGAGCTAGGGGAGTCCACCCCCAGGCATGTCCCATGAGCCCTATAAGCTATGGAGTCAGGTCTTACATGTCTGCAAGTCTCTCAGGTTGCAAGGGAATCATATTTGCTTGGTATGTGGCTCCCTGGCAGAGACTGTGAGTTCAAGATTAAGCTAAGGGCGGTCAGTGAATGCTACTACAGTCACTGGAAGTGCAATTATTTTAAGGTACTAGGGCATGAATGGGGAGAAGTGTCAGGCTGAGGATTTGGAGATGATGCAACCTGATTGGGCTCTTCATGTGCACTTCATGATCTTATGCTCTAAACATATTCACTTGGATAGCAAATAAATCTTTTGGGAAGATGAATCCACAAGGGACAAGTCACACACTTCAAAGGCAGAAGGACAGCTGGAAAACTTCAGGGACACATCTTAAATCTGGGAAATGACTTACTGCCTAGGGATAAGGTTATCTCACTGTGTTTTTGCTCCTTAGTACTTTGACCACCTATCTTTAAGCTAAATGGCAGAAACATGTGGCTGAGACAAACAGCGCGGAGCTGATTTTTCCTGACTGTAGCTGACTGTCTGGCTCTCCTAGATCAATGTAGGTCAGGAGTAACAAAGCTGACAGATGGACCGAGGCACCGAGAAGTCACTGCCATCCTGAATCACCTCAGAGTTTCCCCAGTTCTTTCTTTACTCCCCTTTCATATGTTGCTGTTTCTGTTATGGCTCATTCTGGATATAGCAGAACCTGAGGTTTCTCTGCTTAATGTTTTACCGATGAGCAGTCAACTATTTATTGCTGGGGAACAAATCACTTATCATCTGCATGTTGGTGCTCCTATGACGCATTTTGTCCCTGGGTCTTAAAGTGCTGTACAAGAAGGGGTTGAATCTTTGCTGAACCAATGGAGAATTAAAGGGGGAAAAGCCACCTAAGATCATTGACTCCATTGTGGATGTGGAGAAAGAAACCATGAATGAAAGAAACTACCCCACTGAAGGTAGATTAGTGTGTCTATGCAGGAAATGGTTGTTAAAAAAAGTCAAGGAAACAAAGCCAAAGCTTTAGTGCTTGTGCTGAAGTTTGCGTTAACTGAATCCCTTTTACCCCCTTTCTAGTTTATGCCTCGGCATCCATTGGCATGCCAGCACACCGTTTGTCAAAGCTTCATTTTCCGATCATTGTGGCTGTGTCACCTGGAGGTCTTTCACCTACCCAGAAACCCCCAACATTGGCCCTGCTTATCTCAGGGAGGTTGCAGCTCTGCAGTCAAACTGAGAGCTTCACCAGAGAATGATATTCTCTGATTTCAGCCCCATGAAATCATGCAAAAAAGGTCGAACCTGTTAATAACGGAATCCTCACCTTTGGCTTGTGAACGCACTTACTACCTGCAGGTTTGTGACTGCTGCCTTTGACCATATGTTTGTTCCCATGGCAACATATAGCTGTTGAGCAATTCGAATTCCATTAAATGAATCACAGAATCACAGAATGTTAGGGATTGGAAGGGACCTCAAAAGATCATCCAGTCCAATCCCCCTGCCGGAGCAGGAACCTAAATGAGATCACACAGGGAAGTTTCTGAGAAACTTTTCAGAAATCCTGCAATGCACAGGCAAGAAAGTCCTGATTTCCATCATGTCTTTCCCTGACAGGCCTCCCTGCTCCACCAACACAGAAAACTATGTTCTACTTTATTACAACTAATTAACCAGTGAGAAGTCAAATGTAAACAACTCTGCAAAAAATCCAGTATGGTTCAGCTGCAATAATAACCAAGTGCATTACTCTGCATGCCTTCCTGTACGCAATAAAACAGCATTTCAGAGATGACTGGGGAAAACAGCTCAGGCAATTAGATATAGTATTATTTCAGTATGCTTACAAAACCTTGTGATTACAATGCAAATAAATATATGGCTTCTTATTTAAGTAAAGCAATTTCCTTCCCTGCTGTGTAATAAGTATGCAGCCTCTCACGTTATGACTGTCTTTGATTGTTGTGGATACTTGGGGTGAGGAGATCCCTGTTTGCAGAGAACCTCCATTCCTGCAGGCTTGGGTCTTTAAACGCACTGGCTGTAGCAAATAAGGGTGATAACCTTGATGACTTCCCTATGTGAAGGGATGCTAGGTCCCATTTTACTGCCTGGAATTAGTGCTCATGTAAATGCTGAGTTCTTGCTGCCCATGCTGATGAGGACATGAGGTGCTGGAGGACAACCAGTTCATGTTGAGTATCACTGCTCAGGCATGGTGTATCCTGTACTGCCCATAAGAACAGACTGCTCCACAAAAAAAAAATGATGGTTCCCAGAGGGGTGTGTTATCATTGGTGGCAAGGTTGTGCATTCCCTAGCCCTTAGGGCCACTGTGTCCTGAAATGGCCAGCCATCTTCCACCCTGCCTGAGGCATTTTGGAGGGCTAGGGTTTCCAAGAATGGATGACACTATATCAGTATATGAAAGCTAGTAAATTCAGGGCCTTATTAACCTGCTCCCTGCTCAAAAGGCAGCCTTCCCTCCTTGCTACTTGCTTAGCTGTGCAGTGGAAATACAGGCAATTCCCTCCTGCCTTGAAAGAAGGGAGTATGCACCCCAGACCCTGTTAATGGCATGAGCAAACCTGGCTTCAGGGCTGCACTGAGCCTCTGCCCAGGCACTGCAGTGATGTTCAGGGGTCCATCTCCACCATGAAACCAAGGAGTCAGTGTTTGTTGGACAAAATGAACTGAATGTCCCTGGACCAGGGCATCTGTAAGCTGCACATAGCTGGGAGCTGGAAACATGTGTCTGGCTGTGGGGGCTGTCAGGCAGTGGTCACTTTGCTTTCCCTGTTCTCTGCTGTCTGCTGGTGGAGACAGAATACAAGGTTGTGTCTCTCTACCTCTCTTTACTTTTGCTATAAGAAATTCCATGGAGTGCAGTGTGTGCCTCAGTTTCCCCACCTAAAAAGACTGAGCTGTTTTGAAAAGTGCATTGACAAGTGTCCAGACTCTTAGGAGACACTTTCATGGCTCTGCCATGTCCATCTCACAAGTGCTTTCCTGCCTCTATGCTAGAGCCACTACATCCCAAAGTCCCTTTCCAATCTCTTCTCTGCCAGGTGATGTTCTGCAAGGGTGCAAGTGGGCTGTCACCGGCACCCAGTAGGAAACATGAGTAACAATAGCTGGATTTGGGCATGCACAGGTACAGCATCTCCTTAGCTGGCACAAGAAACTTGCTCATCCCTGATCCGCCCCCAGAATCATCTGAAGGAAATGTAGTCTGCTGCAAAGTGAGGCCATGTTTATTAGAAGAGACACTAGGCACAGCTATGATGCTGACACAGGGTTTCCAAAAGGAAACAACCATAGTGAGAAGGTGCAGTGGGTTGAACCCAACCAGCAGCTAAGCACCTATCCTTGCACTTGCTCAGCATCTTCCCCTGTGGGACAAGGAGAGAACCAGAAGAGTGAAAATGAGAAGTCTTGTGGGTCAAGATAAAAGCAGTTTAATATTTGAAGAAAAGAAAAAAAAAAAACCCAAACCACTAAGGGATGCAAAAGCAATCACTCACCACCTCCCACCAGCAGACCAACCACTCTCTGAGCAATGGCTACTTTGAAAAGACTAAACCTACTTTTTTTTTTTTTTTTTTTCCTGAGAATGACATTATATTGCATGGAATGTCCCTTTGGTCAACTCAGGTCAGCTGTTCCAACTGTGTCCCCTCCCACCCTCTTACCTGCCCCTAGCCTACTTGCTGAGGAGTAAAAAATGGAGAAAGCCTTGACTCTGTGCAGGCACATTCAGCAACAGATAAAACATCAGTGCATTATCAACACTGTTTTAGCACAAATCCAAACCACAGCACTGTATGTGCTGCTATGAAAAATGTTAACTCCATCACAGGTGGAGGAAAAGTAGCTTACCATTTCCCTGGCTTTCACCTGTATCACAACCTGAAATGCCTGGTTCTGACAAAGCAAACAACAGCAATATCTGCTGGAAGTGGGGAGGCAGGCTTCACCTGAGAAACATGGGGTATTTTTGGCAGGTCCTTACAGCCTGGTCTATTCCAGGAGGGACTGAACCCTCCCAGTTCTCCAGGGTTCCCAGCACAGTGGGTGCTAATGGATTTGACTCAGATGAATTCTCCCAGTGTGAGTTTGCATTGAGATGTACACTGGAATTACTGTCCCTACATTCAAAGCCAAACAGGGCTGGGATTGCTGAGGGCCATCCATACGTTCATAGAAGCTAGGCTTGTAGGTTCATGCATTTTGCAGCCTCCTGTCATGCCTGTAATGCTGTTTCTGAATCCCACAGGCTAGCTGCAAAGCGACATGGAGCCTCCACTGCCTGGATGTGTGTCCATTACCTTTTACATACCTCTCAGTGGAGAGAAAACTATTTGTAGGGTGTCTTGCACTTGTAGGCTGCCTCGTCTAAGAAAAAAGGCTTAAGTTGCAGCATATGAATTGTTCCCTAAAAGCTCCTGCTTTTTCTCTGCTATAAAAGGGATCAAGGACATTTTCTGCTAACATCCAAAGTTAGATAAAATGGCCTCAATCTTACAGATTTTCATGCTTTTGAAGTAGCCATAATTGGAGCATTTCAGCAGAGAGATAAGGTGCAGATTAAATGCATTCTGGCAGTGGATCCAGTAGCAGGCATTAGATGCAAATATCTCCAGTTCAGAGGTATGGCTTTTTACTGGGACATGACCAAGTTAAGGGTTGGCTGCGCCCCTGGGATTGCTAATCATAAAACTCTGCCTTTTTCAGCTCTAGAAGCTTATAATAGAACTGGGAATCAGGCAAGTTATACCACAGAAGAGTCCTGATGGCCTATAATCACAACTTCAATTTCTGCCTCTTCTCTTGCCTCCTAGCTTCAGGTTGAACAGTGCAAGCAATTACCTTGACAGTATTTTCTATATTTCCCCTTTTGGTCCAGGTTTGCTTCTGGAGATGCCAAGCTGAGCTGCAGTGAGGATGACAAGGAACATTTTCAATTCAAAGACATCAGGGATGGGTTCAGCTCAACCTTTGAGAAGATCATTGAGTCTGACCTTATGAAGGGTACATACTACAGCAGCTTGGACTCTTTGGATGTCCTCTCTCTCACAGACGAGACAGACAGCTGTGTCAGTTTTGAGGCTCCACTCACCCCATTGATCCAGCAGAGGGTGAAGGAAAGCCCGGAGCTCTTGGAGCAGAAACTGGTAACTCAGCAGAGAGAAACCCTTCACCACATGGCTGCTGATAAGCAAGAGCAGACAGCAGCCAAACCAGTAGTGAGGGATTTTGGGAGCCCTCTCAGGCACTCAATTACCAGCAGCAGGTCGGAGAATGTGCTGAGCCGATTGTCCTTGAAGAGTATCCCAAATGGATTCCATGTGGAAGGAGCAGAAGAAGATGCCACCAAGATCCTTAACTCCATCAGGTAAGGCAGGCTGGTAATTCCTTGGGCAAAGGGCTCCTTTTCTTACAGGGTCCCAGTCCAGGAGCAAGGCTCAGAGGATGATAGAGATGGAGCTGCTTTTTTTCCCTTGTGCTTCCTCTCATGTGTTGTCATGGCAGAGGGGTCAAACACCAACAGGAAAACCTTTCCTGCTCTACAGGGTAGCACTGAAGCTGGGGACCAAAGTCTCACAGCATTAAACCAGCCAGTCTCCAGCAGGCCTCTGACTGAGTCCTCCCTGTTCTCAAACCCAGGACCCAAAACTGCAGGTGAGCTGCAGGGTCCCGTAGAAGTCCTGTGAGCCCAAGAAAAGCCAAGGCTCAGCACTTGCCTCACGTTGTTTACGTCTGTTCACTTGTTCGCATTTGCTCTGGAGGGTGCCACCATTCATCTGTTTGCTCACAAATCCCATCTATTCTTATAGCAGGCAAAGCTGGGGGTCCTCTAAGCAGACAGTGCCTTGTCTGCCTGACATCTGCAAAAGCCCTTGGCAGGTTGGAGGCAGTTGGGCACACTCCCAAGTATGCTCTGAAGTGCAGGGAAGCCTCAAGGTTTCACTTAGGACTGGGTGACCTTGTAGAGACCACCCCAAAGGTTCTTCTGCAGGCAGTGAGATCAGCAGAGACTTCATTCTCTGGTACATCTCAGACCCAAACCATAATTCCTGGGAGGCATCAGCTCATCTGCAGGGCAGTTCCTTGCATGAGGAATCCAGGAGATGAGCAGCCAGGTCATGGGAGAGCTGGAGTAATGCCATATGTCCAGCTAGCTATCAGGCCTTTGATGAGTCACACTACCCAAAAACGTGCAAATAGGTGCCATAATGCCATAACTGGCCTCGGGCAAGAAAATAGAGAGATGCAGCCCCACCTGCCTGGTGCCAGTGGGGCTGCTCAATGTGTTGTGTGTGGAAACAGCTGGCCACCATGCTAGCCAGCAGCTGGGAGAGGAGCAGCCCACCTGCGACAGCAGGTCTGCTGTTATTCCCATTGGCATGGTTTATAGAAGTGCAATTTCTCATCCATTGGCATGGTTTATAGAAGTGCAATTTCTCATCCTTGCAAATAATCTGAACTGAAAAGCATACCATCTATCCCTAAGATTTCCTGACTGTCTAGAGCTCTGAAAGGGCTTGGTATCCCTTTCCATACCAGCAGAGAGAGAGGAAGCTTAAAAAGGTGTTGGGGTTGCTTGCTTTGCATGGATACATCTTCATTTCTCAGGAAGAAGTCACCTTCTCTTCAGTCTTTTTCTACAAATTTGAAATTGAACTGTACTATTTCATTTGACTTGAAATGAAAGAGGGTTTGTCCAATGTCCAGTTCACAACTGTGGTGTTGGTTTTTTCATATTTTTTGGTTAGGACAAGAAGAAATCAAAATGTGGTGTTTTCTGTGGGTTTCATCGAGTCACACTACTGCTGCTTGAATTGTTTCTTGTTTCTGTGTAGTGATGCCAGCTTGAAGGATGCACTGTCAGACTCTGACTCTGACATGGGCAGCACAGAGCAGCTTGACCAGGGCAGCACAGATACCTTGGCGAACGGCTGCAGGGCAGATAGCGAGGCTGCCAAGAGACTGGCTAAGCGCCTCTACAACCTCGAGGGGTTCAAGCGTTGTGATGTGGCACGCCAGCTTGGGAAAAAGTAAGTGGTGCTTTGGGTTGCAGCCAACACTATGAGGGGGTTAACTGAGATGGCAGCATTGAGCATGGCCAGCAGAAACACAGCCTTGGTGGGGAGGGTCTGAGGAAGCACTGGTCATGCTGGGAGGACAGGACAAAGGCAGGAAGGGGCAAGCTTGCTGTTACAAGGACTTACTGGATGGAGTCAGGGCTGGAGATCCTTGCAGTTGAAACTGGTCCAAATCCAATGCCCTTGCAATCCGAATCCTATAAGCTGCTTGCGTGTATTTGGCATTAACTGCCACAAGCTGCTGTCCACCAGAACCAAGAGCTTCCTGTGTTTGGTAAGGGCCCAGCAAGACCCCCCTAAAGCAATCCCCAGGGTTTGGAATCTAGACTTGGACCTGCACTGGGATCCCTGCCAATGCCCAGATTTTTTATGTCTGCACCCCAAAATTTTCTTGCTGCAGTGCCCCCTGACTCAGTCTGTAGATGGCATGAAGGGTTTGATGGAGAGCCAGGTACACACCAGAGGTTGAGGCACCTCAGCTGGTAGATTTGCCTGGGTAAGGCAGAAAGGAAAGAAAAAGTGTTTATTCCAAAGTGGGAGCATTACAGAGATTTCCAAGAGACAGAGTAACAGTAACGAGTGTAGCAGTAACAGGTTATTTTAGGATGCCGGTGGGTGTGAGGACATCAATCCTTCTGGATCAGATGTACTCTGTGTTGCTAGGGTTTTTTAAATGCCCCTGAAACATCTCACTCCAGTCAACAGGACACAACTGTCCCTCAGCAAATACCCAAGCTTTCAGTAGCAAGGATTGTCTGTGACTCCTATCTTAGTCCTGGGACAGAAGAGCCTGTGAATGATCTCCTAGACAGGCTCTTTGTATCACCTGGCATCATCCTTGTTCTCTTTTGCTATGGTTATTGTAGCAGGTGCATTACTGGTTGCTGCTGCCTCAGGTTTAGCATCCTTCTCCTTTCTTGCAAATTTTCCATGCCAGCTCAGCTTGGTGGATCTTTCAAGCAGTTGGTCTCTGGGGGTGCATCTGAGTGTGCCCCTTTGGTAGTTTCTGCAATCCTCACTCACACCTGCACTCCTCATACCTTGGAAAGCTGTTTGGTGATCCACAATGGAAATGGACACAGCTTTTAAAAGAAAACTTTTGTTTTGATCAGCTAGGGTTTTGACATCTGAATAATTTCCCAGCACAAGAACTGGATAGAGCTGCAGGCTCTTGGACCAAGCAGGTGGATTTGCAGAGCAGGAAAGGAAGAAGGATGAGGATAGGTGTGTTTTAAGTTGGTCTTGCTCACTTAAGACAATGTAAGACCAACCTACAGTGATGGGAGCAGGGCAAGTTTAAGTGATGTTTTCAGGCCAGCTCCATGTAGGAGGTGGACTGGCTAGGAGAGTTGTTCAAAAAGTAAAATCTCATTTTAAAACTTTTAAACTCATTTTAACCTTTTTTTCTTCTGTGAACATTAGCAAAAAAAAAAAAAACCCAAAACCAAACCAAAACCAATATCATTCATTATTGTCAAACAAGTAGAAAAGGTTTTATGAACAGGGAAGTGGAGGTTGGATATCTCCAAATAGTTTCTTTCCAAATGACACTATTCTGTGAAATTAACTTCAAATCCAGAAATTACCTTCATCTCTCTGAAGAGCACGTGTTTTAGCAACTGAACTCTCCATGGAAGATTCTTGTTCCTGGATTTGTCTGTGGCATCATCTCAGCTCCTTCACTACCCACAGTCACAGCTCACACATCTCTTGCTGGATGGAGGTTGAACTGTCTCAGCTGCCAGACCATGAGATGGTAGTGCCAGGCACTTCCGTGCAAGGTTTCACAAGAGAGCACGGTGCTCACAAAACCAGGCAGGCAGTGACAGAGCAGGCAGCAGAACACAGTTTCAGCATCGCAGTGCACTGAGAACTGGGGGTCTGTCAGAGTCCCATGGGCATTAGGGGATGGGCACACAGTGTATTTTCCTCCCCTGGAGATTAGGTGAAACTTCTTAAGGACAATATTTTACTAGCCAAACTTCTTAAGGACAATATTTTTTGACCGAGGTGACTGTGGCACAAAAAGAATCCTGGACAATATAGACTTAGCTCTGTAGGACAGTGAGATTCAGGTTGTAAAACACCACACACCTGTTCACATTCAGCCATGCAAGAATGAAATGGGGAGAAAAGACCAGGACTCCTGTGTTATCCCTGGAGTGGCTTGTGACCCAGACAGGTCAGTAAGCACTCTTGGTGCCTGGCCCTTCCCAAACCAGGCAGAGGGAGAAAGTGTCAAGCTGGAGTGTAAGGTGAGAAGAGGTCAGTAGAGGCTGGCTGTGTGGCAGGGTCATCAACCAGAGGATGCTGGACATGTCCCCATGGGAAACACCTTGCTGTTCTTGTGGGAATGTCTCTGTTGTGTCTGAGCTGCATGGTAGGAGTGTCACTTGTTCCTGCAGGAGGGGCTGGGACTGGCACAGAGAAGGCCAATTCTTGAATGAGAAAACCAGAGCAAGCACCTAAACCTACCTTAGTGTAGGTCATGGTCTTGCCCTGGCCAGTGTTGGAGCTCTGTGTCCCAGTTATGCCTGGGACACATTAACTGGCTTTGGAGCTCAGGGAGAAGAGTCCCATCAACGTTGCTGGGCCCCTCGCTAGACACAGGAGTTTCTTGCTTCATGAGGGCTGGCCTTCAGGTGTTCTGCAGCACTGTCTGGTTCCCTCCACAGAGCTGGCACTTCCTGCCTGGAGCTTTTCCAAGCAAAGAGGAACCAAGTGAGGCACGCAGAAAGGTGTGATGAGCACCCAGCCTCGGGACTGTTGGCACCACAGCAGCTGGCACAGACCACTTGTCCTGGGGGTCACAAATTCCCTATGGACTCCTGGCCTTCAGCAAGACCAGTGAGCTGAAGGACAGGCAACAAGGCCTGCTTACCTTCCTGGGCTGCCCTGATGGGAAAGTGGGGTGAAGGGGAGCTCCCACCCACCTTCATCATACCTGACTATAGGTCTAGTTAGGAATGTAAATTAGGATGTAGCTCCCAGTGTAGGCCATAGAGACATCTCAAGAGCAATTCAGCCCACTCAATATCTGTATTGAGCTATAGACCTGCCAAGTCTTTTGGCTTTAAGGAGCCTTGGGCAAGGTTCATCCTTCAAGCCCAGCTTGAGTTGAGTGGGGTCAGACACTGTTCTCCCCTGTTGATCACTGTGGTGCTGCAGTTGTTGCTGTGTGCCCAGTGCCTAGAACGTGCAAGCATATTCCTAGGAGACCTAGTAAATAGGTGCCCAAATAGAAGGAATCAGCCCTTTTCTTCTGGGAGACTACAACCGCATGTGTGAGGTGAGTCCTGACCTGTGGAAGGGAAAGCACTGGTTAGTTCCCACCACTGGCACAACCAGTGAATGAGGTCTTCTGCAGACTTAGAGCTGAGAAGATCCCAGGGGATGCCTGGGGCTTGCTTGGATCTGCTCATTCTTCACCACAGGGTGAAGATGTGGTGACATTTTCTTTCACAAATATGTGATGATCTTCTGCATCTCACATAATTTTGTTGTGAAGTTCTGGGACAAGTGGAGAAGTGTCCCTGGGAAGCTGGCAGGAATCTGCACACCAGTCATTGTGGCACTGTGTGGTGGGTTGACCCTGGCTGGATGCCAAGTGCCCACCAAAGGCACTCTATCACTCCCCTTCCTCAACTGGACAGAGGAGAAAAAATATAAAAGGTTTGTGGGTTGAGATAAGGACAGGGAGAGATCATTCACCAATTACTGTCATGGGCAAAACAGACTCAGGGAAATTAGTTTAATTTATTACCAATCAAATCAGAATAGGATAATAAAACACTTTCCTACTACCCCTCCCTTCTTTCCAGGTTTAACTTTTCTACCAATTTCTCTACCTCCTCCCCACCAGCAGCACAGGGGAAGGGGAAAGGAGATTACAGTCAGTTCATCAGACATTGTTTCTGCTGCTCCTTCCTCCTCAGAGGGAGGACTCCTCACACACTTCTGCTCCAGCCTGGGGTCCCTCTCACAGGAGACAGTCCTCCATGAACTTTTCCAACATGAGTCCTTCCCATGGGCTGCAGTTCTTTACACACTGCTCCAGCGTGGGTTATTTCCATGGTGTGCAGTCCTTCAGTGGTGTGCTGGATTGCTTCAGCATGAGTCCCCCACTGGGTCACAGCAAACCTGCTCCAGCATGGACTCCTCTCTCCATGGGGACGCAGGTCCTGCTGGGAGCCTGCTCCATTGTAGGCTTTCCACAGGGTCACAGCTTCCTTTAGGCATCTACCTGCTCCAGCTTGATGTCCTCCATGGGCTGCAGGTGGACATCTGCTCCACCATGTACTTCCAAGGGCTGCAGGGGAACAGCCTGCCTCACCATGGTCTTCACCACAGGCTGCAGGGGAATCTCTGCTCCAGTGCCTGCAGCACCTCCTCCATCCTCCTTCTTCACTGACCTTGGTGTCTGCAGAGTTGTTTCTCTCATATTCTCACTCCTCTCTCTGGCTGCAATTGTGCAGTTATTGTTTTTCCTTTCCCTTCTTAAATACTTTGTCACAGAAGTACTTCCACCATCACGGATTGACTCAGCTTTGGCCAGCAGCAGGTCCATCTTGAAGCCAGCTGGCATTGGCCCTGTTCGACACAGGGGAAGCTTCTGGTGACTTGTCACAGAAGCCACCCCTGTAGCCCCTCTGCTACCAAAACCTTGCCATGTGAATCCAATACACACTGCTTCAGACAGATTAACCCGGAGGGCCATGAGGGCATGAGGACATGTTCTTTCCCAGAGGTAGCAATCCCAAATCATAATATTGTTTTATGAGTGGGAGGCCTTGTGGCTTCATATGGCTTTGAAACAGTCTCTTGCACAAATTCCAGCACCAATACTTATGCCTTGCCTCTCAAAACTTAGCCTGGGCCTCTCCCCTGGAGCTGACACGCTGCTCTGCCTGGTCCCACTGCATGTCGTGCTTCTGAACACCATCAATGTCAGAGGCTTTACAGCATCCACCTCACCGCAGAAGATGAAACAATGCTCTAGGAAAAAGCAAGAAGTTCTGCCTCTAACATGTCCCAGGGTGAAATTGAATGTGCAATACTTAGCAATACGCTTTTCATTTTGTAGGGAGAAGGAAAAGGAATTGTACATGCAAAGGCTGAGCATATTAAGAGTACCTCCCATTTCTTGCCAGCATTCATTGACTATTCTTGCACTTTCACTACCCAAGTTGTGTAGATAGAGGAACTTCACACCACTCATTCTGGCTTTAAAGGCAACACGTCTCCAGGCATCCTTCAAAAACATAGGGGAATGGTTTATGGAGAAGCATTCAGGGATAAGCAGGGCCAGAAGCTCAGCTGAGCTCTCCTGCTCCAGTTCCCAGGGTCATCCATCTGACATGCAAGCAAGGCGCTGTGGTGAGAGGATGGGATGGCACTCAACATGGAGTGCAGAGCAGGAATATTGCAGGAGAAGGAGGGGACACTTCCAGCAATGGGAGAAGACTAGGTAAGAGAGAAGGTGCCCGATGAGCACAGGACATCCTTATGGGCTTCTCCTTCTGGCTGGTTTGGGAGGAGGCTCTACCTGGTCAGCAGCACAGCAGAGAGGGGCACTGGGGATCTACATCTCTCTTGTGTCTAGGTGTCTAGGGCTGGCAGCCGCAGTTCTAGTCAGTGGGCACATGATGGCCTTTTGGATGTCTTCCAGCAGTATTTCAAGCTAGGAGAAAGTCCCCGTGGGTAGGGATCACATCTGCAGTGTGTTGCTGGGAGTTTGGGCTGGCCAGGAGGCAGCAGTCTGCTGTTCCTCTTGTAGACAGTGTCTTCTTCCCTGATGAAAGGGCTGACTACTCCCTCTTTAATTACAGTAACGAATTTAGCAAGTTGGTAGCAGAGGAGTATCTCAGCTTCTTTGACTTCACTGGCCTGACCCTTGACAAAGCACTCAGGTGAGCTGGTCTCTGGCACTCCCGCGTAGGGCCTGGGCTGGACAGAGTGGAGCAGCGCGGTGGGTTTCTCCTCTGGGCTTCCTGACACCATGGAGGCTGTCCATGTGATAGGAGCAGGAACTGGGGGGAGCTCCAGGTCAACGTTTAATCTTTGCTTTGGTGTCACATTTAGCACAAGGTACTGCCACCAAAAGTGGGCTTTGACAGGAGGGCCTACAACCTGCTTCCCCATAGTGGAGAGCAGCTTTCCCAGGAGTCCCATGCCATGCAAAATCAGAGAAAATGGGAGCAACTTCTTCCCTTGGGACAGACAACCCATTCTGGTGCCATCAAGCCAGAGGTGGGTCAGATCTCGGCTGACAGCATGCTTCCCTACGCAGCTCAGACCTGCTCCATGACACCTTTTGCATTGCATCTTCAGGGGCCCAAGGGGTCACGGGCCGGGGGGAGGACAAAGGCTGTCCTAGCTACTCTGAGGAACCCCTCTCCATCTGCCTCCTTAGCATGGACACTGCCCAGCAGATCAATCCACAACATCTTTAAATATCACTTTCTTTTTGCAGGACGTTCTTGAAAGCATTCCCACTGATGGGAGAGACGCAGGAGCGGGAGCGGGTGCTGATTCATTTCTCCCGGCGGTACTGCCAGTGCAACCCAGAGGAGAGCACGTCCGAAGGTATCACCATCTTTCCCTGACTCTGGTGGTCCACTGCACACCCACAGTGCACCTGTGTAAAACCAACCACCCACAGCTGGGCCTGAATAGTCCCCATGGGGTAGGCAACACTGCAGCTTCTCCCTTCTTCTGGAATCCTGCCCTGCTGATTATTCCCACCCTCTGACTGGGGATGCCAGGTGCTATACAGAACCCCCCAAGGGAGATAGATGAGTCTTCTCAGGATCTGAGGGTCTGAGTGTGGGCTCAAAGGGAGCCTTGTCCTCTCAAATGCATATGAGCTGTTCTGAAGACAAGCTCTTCAGCTGTAGCCTTGATCAGTGGCCATGCTTTGCCTAGCACCAGGGTAGGTGGTGAGCAGTTCTCAGGGGTTGCAAATTACTGCAGTCGTGGTTTGCAAAGTAGTTGCTGGAAGTGGGAAAATGAGTGGCTGGTGCTAGCTCAGCCCAAGACCTTGTCCATTGAGTGGAAGAAGATATTTTGATGCACGTTGAGGAATGCTGTTGGCTTGCCACATACAGGAGTTGTGTTCCTTGCATCTACAACTGCAGCAGTAGAAAACACAGATGGGTAAAATTCTGGGCCCAGCAGAGTTGCAGATTTTTTAATTAGTTGTAGTTTCTTCTGACATTTTTAAATGGGAAAGGTTCCTGGTACACACATGCACACATCCAGATTTGAGCATGTCCACATTCACACTTACATGAGTGCCTCTACACACCTGCTTACAGGCATCTAGAATTGCCCCCATGGGTGGAAATCAGGCTGTTGACCTGATAGCAGTGCCAGTTGTTCCTCCTCCACCCCTTCAGCATGCAATATGCCACTTCTGTCTGAGAGCTCCAGCTTGTCTCTGTCTTGCACGTTTCCCAAAAAGCAGCAGTGCCTAATGTCACTTGAACCCTCCAATCCCTCTGCCAAGCAAAACAGAATTTTTTTGCTTTTACCAGTGCTATCCTAATAAAGTACAGATTTATATTTCATTTCCCTATGTTTATGTGATATTCTCTCTCACTGATGCAAAGAGGACCTTCCCCTGCAAAACGTCCTCCACCTGTAGACATGAAGCTGCAAGCTGAATTTTCAGCAGCATTCCCCAACTGAAATATCCCAAATACTAAGTCCTGACCTCTCTTCAACACCTCCCTCTGGAATTAATCCTCAACCATATTGCATCTACCCCCACTCCTACAGACAAGGGTCTTGGGTCCCTTTCTCCCCTTCTGGTCCTCAGGTGTCTAACACCCACTGTGAGGTCATGCACACATCAACTTGAGCAGAGGCTGAGCTGGAGCACAGAGGGTCAGATCTCCGACTCCATCCCACATCCTTCAACATAAGGCTGTTTGGAGGGCAGTGACTAGTCAAACAAAATACAAGCTTTGCCATGGCAATGCGGGTTACAAAGCTGCTGATGGAGCCACGCTACAGCAACTGTTCAGAAGAGAAATTAGATCCCAGTTCTGAACACTCTGCAAGAAGGTGTCTGCTAAAGCAAACACAAATGAGGCCAGAAAGTTAAACTCTTCCATAATTGCACAGCCCTCAGTGGAGATGTCACAGCTGCTGGCAGGGCCCATTTTTGAAATGTTACACTCCTGAATAGTACAAAACTATTAAGAGTAAGAAAAACTGGATCTGAAACACATTATTCCTGCTGCTGTCATGACCTATTCATTAACATTCAGGGACACAACATTGCCTGTGATGGTGGCAGCACATTTCAGAAGGCTGGGCAGGACCACTTACTGCAGACCAAATATAAACTGAGTCCCAGGTAGGACAGAGCTGCATGCAGTTCTGGAATTGAATGGGGCTTGAAAAAAATACAATTGTATTCCAAGTACTACTTGAAGCTGATGCAATGGAGGGAAGCAAAATGGCTCTTGAAGGTCACATCTTTTGCAGATACTGCAAAACCATGCAGTAGATGTGTATTAATTTGAGAAAGCTATTGCAAGCTCTTTCTTCAGGAAGCAGTTTTTTCTTGTTGCATCCAGCCTAAACTTGCAAAGGATGTTCCATCAAAATGAAATTCGAGCCAGTGTGTATTATCTAGATTCCTAAAGAAACACCTCTGGCTGTGGTGGTCTATTGGCATAGAAGCATGATAGAGTCAAGATAGTTTTGTCTGGAGATGATCAGGTGGCTAAGAAGGTCTTAAAGCCTTCTAAGACACTTCAGGTCATTGCTACATGCTGATTCAATAACCCCTCCACTGATGGAGACATGGTTGTGGCAACACCAAGGATCACTTCAGCCTGTATGATGGGATGCTGCAGATGAAGGTGGCAGAAGCTCTGACCTGAGTGAGGTGTCAGAGCTTCTTCCAGAGAGTGATGTCTTGGACTCACTATTAGTGCTTTCATGTACCGATGAAGCCCAGGCATGGAAGAACTATACAGTTGTGTTGTGACACTGTGTGAGCCAAGAGAAAAAGTGAAAGCAACTGAGCCAAGCAACAGTGAGAGGATAGCAAGTTTTGGGACACCAGCTCCACCCTGGGACCATGTGGGAACGGAGCAAAATCATACAGTAAAGCCAGGTGAAAATGTCAGCCCAGAACCTCCCACAGAGAGTCCAAAATATACACTGGGGAGGCATGTTGTCCTAAGCCCAAAGCTGCTTCTTGTGAAAGTGAAGGAAGCACCTTTCTTAGGAGTTTATTCTCTCTTGATGGGGGATGTCTATCACATCGTGTCCCCAGGACTGTCAGCCCTTAGAGAAATATGTGATGTTCTCATGAGAAACCCTTCTTTCCTCAGAGACCATGGTTCTTCCAGGAAAGGGAGAAGTTCATATGCTTAGTTGCCTTCATCCTGAGCTCATGTGTTTGGTTGTCTTTAGCTGACAGTGTTTAGAGCTTGGCCTTGAGCATGGAGTGCTCAGGGCTAGCTGCTATTCCACAAAAATGGTGCCTTTATTTAGTGGCTGACCAGGATGGGGACGAGCCACAGCTGGCTCTCTGTGGCTGTGCATCTACCCCCACAAGAGACCAGTGTCACTTCCCTAGCCAGGACTGGAGTTGAGTCACAGCCTGACTCTGGGGCACCAATTCACAGAGCAGCATGCACAGGGGAAATAATCCAGGAGCATCTTGTCATGTCTGGCTTGGTCTGTGGAGCAGCCTATCTGTGTAAGCACACCAAGTCATGCCAAGGGTAGGACCAACGACCAAAACTGTAGTATTTCTGCCTCTGACTCCTCCCTGGTGCTCTCTAGCCCTTTTGTGAGGTCCTTGCAAGGACCAGTTCATGTGTCAGAGTGCATTTGCATCTCTGTTGTAGGGTGGTGCATGGAGGCTAGTCTCCTGACCTTGAACAGCTTCAGAACACAGCATGGATTTGAAATAACAGCAAGCCACCAGGCTACCTGGTAACAGAAGAGGGTGCTGTGCTGTCTCAAATGGAAGGAAAACTTCATGTGAGTTTTATTAAGTCAGAGAGCCAAAAATGCTGCACTCACTTTTAGTAATAATGTTTGTTGAACAACTCAAGAGCTTACAGGCTGCCTGGGAATGATGACTAAAGACCTCAGGACAAACCCCTGAGGTGACTGTGATCAACTGGGGAAAAATTAGCTTTGTTTGCCAGGGTCTCTGCTCCATTCTGCAACAGCATTGGCACAAAATGGATATGGAGGAAGACTCAGCAGAAAGCCTGGTCTTCAGAAAGCCATTGACAAAGCTGCTTTAAAGCCAATTACTTGGTGATCATTTTTCAGGAAAAGGTAAAGTTTGAAAGAAAAGAGGATTTTTTATTTATTTTTTTAACTATCTTGTGCAGTTGAAGAAACAAGTATTCTTTAAGATCCCCAGACATAGCAGCTAGCCTTGGTTTTGCAATGGGTGGGCTGCTAAGACAGCAGACATTGAAACCATGTGGGAAGGGATGTAACCATAGCCATCTGACTGTTGTGTGTTTCAGATGGGATTCATACACTCACCTGTGCCCTGATGCTGCTAAACACAGACCTTCACGGCCATGTAAGTAGTACTCAGAGATGCATCCTCCCTTTTTCCCTTCTCATTATAGAGGTGTGTCCCCTTATGCAGGATATGTTGCTAGAAAAATTACATAGGTTGGCAGAGAGTACTCTGACCAGCTCGAAGGAACATTTTGGGTGCCAGGCCCTGACCTGGGGACAGTCCTCTTAGTGTCACTCCACACTCAAGTGTCAAAGGCATATCTTCTGCTGACATCAGTTATCTTATACAGGGACAAGCAGTGCAGCTTTCTTCCCAAGACCTGTTGCATGCATCAGCCCTGTCCCAGGAGCTCTCATGGAGAGATCCTTTTTGTGGAGCTGTCAAATAGCAGCACCAATTGTGCTGCTACTTCTTGTGGTGGAGACATGCAAGGCTCCCCTCATCCTAGACACTGGTGCAGAGGAGCCAGTGGTTTCATACAGGTTTAGATTTGATCTTTCCTTCACAAAACACAAAGTAAGTCCCAGCTGTTCCTTTTTCCCAAGATGTAACAGACAGCCACTGGAGAGTGGCCTCTGGACCAAGAGCAGGGTGAGAAGAGCTCAGTGCACAAAGGTGTGGTTAGAAAACAGCAGAGGTTGTTAAGATCTCTCACCATCTTTTAAAGGCTCTTTTGGGCAGCATAGGTTGGATTTGTTCCTAAAAAGGTCAGCCAGAGTGCAGAGAGGAGAGCAGAGCAGGAGGAAAAATAACTACAAAGGGGAGATAGGACTGGGCATAGGGGACAGCACGGGGACATTTTATATACCCTGGGAGACCCCTGCCACAGCATTCATCTGGGAGTACGCATGGACACTGCCCTGCTCAGTGCTGTGGAAGGCTGTGAGCACCATTGACCCAGATCTCCTCCCTGTGCCCCAGCCTTATGGTGCAGGCATAGAGGACGGCTGTGAGCCTCAGGGGGCTGTGCCCCCTTTACAGAGGTAGAGAGGCTCCTCAAGTCTTGGGTCACTGAAGTACCTTCTTTCATAGCCCTTCTGAGAGCTCATACCTGGAGCCACAGACTCCCCAGAACTTGTGTGAAGAAGGAAGGGGCATGGGAGGACAGCTTGTTATAGCAGCCTCTGCACATGAAACCTGCACATCCTTTTCCTGCCCCACAGTCCCACGACTTCCAAGCTGTGTCATGAGATTCCTCATCTGCCTCCAGCTGGTAACAATTTGTTTTGCATCTGCAGAGATGTGCTCCAATTTTCTCTTCATTAGCCTGTTAATGAGGGGACAGTAGGCCATAACCTAGCTCTTTTTTTACATACTGGTTTATAATCACCTTTGAGAGGAGCCTTTTTCTGTGAGGGTGAGAAGAGGACACTACATGAGTGCTCTTCACCTATGATGGCAAAGATGCAAAAGTCACTAGTTTCACTGTTGACATCCTGACAGTCCACCTGGAAGACCCTCCCCATCATTATACCACAAATACTGCCTTCATGAGGGTGGCAAGGTTTGAACACAGCAGCCAGTGAAGGAAATTACTGGTCCCAGCAAAAGCATCCTTTCCAGATGTGCACTGTATCCTGTACCAAGCTGTTACAGCCGATGCAGCCTCATCCTTTGGGGAACAGGCACCCTATGAACAACTTTACATTGGGTTCATGACCACCCATACAGCTGCCAGTAACATGTCTATGCAAAGTGTCTCTGCAGGCAGTGGGATAGCAGTGGGGATGGCTTCAGGGAGGGTCTCGCACAGCATTCATCCTTCAGCCGAAATGGTTGGAGTCAAGGAGGTATTTTCATCAAAGCATTTCCCCCAACAGCAAAAGCAGCACTGTGGCAGAAGGCAAGTTATGCAGCTTCACTCCAAAATAATATTATTTGGTCTAGGTTTTTTTAATTAAAAAAAAAATCCAAAAGATGTCTTTGGGAAGATAGAAATTATTGAAAATGCAAAAAAATTCCTAAGCCTCTGAAACCTTATCATTTGTATTTTTCATTGACAAGCTGGCTAAGAGGCCTAATAAGAAGAAATGATCTCATGCTATCTAGGTAAAGAAAAAAATAACTTTCTTTTGACCAGGTGTAGTAATGCCTGAGCTTTTCTTTGAAAAATCTTTTATTTATTTTTTCGCATGTGTAACATTAATTTCTTCTTCTCCTTCTCCTCCTTTTTTTTTTCTTCCTTTTGCTCCTGGAACCTCTCTTTCTGCTCTTTAACCCTTTACCAGGTGGTAAGTGCAGTCCTTCTAGCATTTTTCTTTAAAGCACTGGGATTTGACTTGTTTTTTTCTGTGAAAAAAAAAAAGAAAAAAGAAAAAAAGGATTTTTGTCTGTCTGGATTCCTAAGTGATCTGCAGTGTTGTTCATTACTTAGCAACCCATTAACATTCAATATACATCGCATTAAATTCTCCTAAAGAAACCTCCATAAACGTCAGTGTACCTGGGATTGTGTGACTTGATCTCTCACTCCTTTTTGTTAAAGATGCTGTCATGATACTGCATATAATTTTTTAATTTATTTCCTTTTTTAATACTATGTGTGTATGTGTGTGTTTCAGTGTTTTACTGTGCATTGCCATGGAGTGGGAAATTCCTTTGGTTAGGAAAGTGTGGTTGATGTGTCTCTGTAAAGGGGCAGATACCTACAGCAGCCTCTCTTGAATGGGCTAGTTCACCATTCCAGCAGTGACCATCACATATACTGAGTTCAGGCTTAAAAGTAATGAGACTGGTTCTAAAACATGAGATTTGCAACTGGCCACACTGGAGTTTTGCCTTAGTACTTTTGATTTTCTACCACAGGTGCACTCAGACCCTGTTTTCAATCTGTCCGGAAAACTTAGTGTCTTTAAAATGAGACACTTCACTTAGAATCACCTGGAGTTAGTATTTAAAAGCCAGCAGTCACCAACAAACATTACAAGCCTTGTAGCGTAATCCATGTTGTTGTAACTCTACCTTGCTCTGCTGGTGCTGTTTGAGCTCCAGGAGATCTTATGACAAAGTAAGTATTCCTCTGCTCCATCTCTGCCCCTTGGAGACAAAGCTTTGAGATGTCTCCTTTTCAACCATCAATGTTATCCCTCCTTGTTCAGAACTGGACGTGGGAGGACAGTGACAAATCAACACTTATGCATCACCAGCATTCAGTTGCATTTTGGTACTTTGGCAAAGCCCAGCTTCTGGAATCACATGTGACAAGCTTTAGTGTTTGTTCAAAAAGCAGGCCAGCAGTTCTCATGGCCACTGAACAAAGCTTGAAATGGGATCCCTGGCAGGTCCTAACTCTACCTGTCCACCACTATTAATCTCACAAACCCTCTGATATTTTCCTTAAACCAGGCTTATGGTTTGGTGTTGGCAATACTGCTGTGTTAGTAGCCCTGGGAGAGCTGAAGAGCTCTGAGATATAAGCAGCTGCTGGTGTCATCTGGAGAGTGACATCAGTCTACCCACAGCAGCTTTGAGTGGACCAGGGATCATTGGCACCCAAAGTTTGTGGGTTTGTTCCGTGCAGTGGGGAGATTTTGTTTCTGCAGTTTAGAACACATCCACTACAAGATCCTGGGTTACAGTCAGACAAATGACCCTCACTTCATCCTGAAATACCAATGTCATTGTTTGGGTTTTTTCCTTTGAAGATGAGTATTTGGGACAGGTCAAAAGAGCCTGAATAAAAGCAAGGCCTGCTAGGGGCATGATGTTCATGCTGGGGAGCTCTCAGGAGATGTACCCCACTCACCACTTTGCAGCTGAGATGTTTGGTGCCTGGGGCCTCCAGTCCAGAAGCTCAATTGGTTTAACACCTCACAGAGGGAGTGCTGGGCAGAGCACCCCAGTTAGCCAGTCTTCATGACCTGTGGCCCCAGGAACCTGCTTCTCTTCCTGGGGCTTTCACATGACACTTGCTTTTCCCACTGACCACCCAGCTCCATACTCACCTGACCAGTCTCCTAATGCTGAGACTTGGTAACAGCCAAGGAATGCCCAGGGTCTTCTGGAGGTGGATAGAGCCACCCCAAACACTTCAGGAGATGGTCTGCAATCATCTTGGGTGAATCAGCTCAGCAGCAGATGACTGAGGCCCAAAGGAGGGAAGAACCCAGTTGTAAACAGGAGAATTACACTGGGTTGAAACAATGGGATGGCAGGATCAGCCCTGTCTACCCACCATCAGGTCAATCTCATCCTTCCTAATTTATTCTTATGCACTCTAACCACCATCATGCACCTTGTATCTCCATCTCTCCATTCCCATATACTGTCTGCACCCATCCACATCTGTCCATCCATTCAGATACTATGTCTACTCATTCATCTAACTAGTCATCCCTTCTCATCTATTTAATCCACTGTTCACTCACTCACCCTCCATCCAAGCACACCATGGTGCGAGCTGATTGCCTGACTGATTTCTCATGCTCTACTGCATGGCCTGTAGCAAGCAAAGATGGCATGAAGTTCTTTTCTGCCAGGGGGATGTATCAGGAATAGTAGCTACGTGTGGCTGTGAAGCAGCCAGCTGGCTTGTTCTATTGCTGGTAAGTGACTGATATACCTCAAAAAAGCAAAATTCTGGCTGGCCAGAAATGAAAATGTATCTCCCTACCCAGAGGTCCCAGTTCAGCAAGGGACATAGAACATCTGAACGCTGAGCTTTGAGGTGTGCAGATACATTCTCCTGGAGATTATATGCCCATGTCATGATCTTGCTGAATCAGCAAGATGGCCTACTGCATAAGAAGGCACCCCACTGCACCCTCATAGTCACCCTTTCCGGAATTGCTCCTGGGATTCCCCATACTTGCTAAATACTGTTGCAGTGTGTGAAAGCTCAGGCAGTCCCTTGGGCTGGTTCTGTTGATAGTAAGACACTTGTGATCACAGAACTCTTTATTTGCAAGTGTTGACCAAGTGAAGTTGCAAAGTCCATGTCCTGGGGTGCTTTTTTGTTTTCTCTTTTCAGCTGGTGTTGATTTGGAGGCACTTACAGGGCTTTGCATTTGAGTGGCTTTGAGCCCATTTCTCAAAGCAGCAAGCTGAAGTGTTAAGATGTTGTTGACTTGAGGTTGTATTGCATCTGAGCCATTTCAGCATCCTGTGCTTAATCCTACTGACAGTCAGCCTGAATCCTGCCCCTGACTCTGCAGTGCTTCAACAACCTTGTCCAACAAGCTGATTCACAGTATTTAGCATCCTTGCTGGAGCTTTCTCATCACCTCTTCTGGTTGTCAGAGAAAGGGTATGTTTTCATCCTTCTCAATTGTTCAGCAATTAGCTGTTTTTTACAGTGTCGCCGCTGTCTCAGTTTGAGCTTAGAGATCTTCTTGCGCAAGAGAAAGAAATAGATCACAGAATAAAAAAGAAACCACCCCCTGGGATTAATACATGTCCTGGATGCAATACATGAGAAACCCAAAGAAGGGCCTGTGAGGCTGGTAACTTGTGCCACTTTATCTCACTGTATTCACTCACCTAAAATGTGTTCGTCTCTGTGTTCATTGCTGAACCACTGCAAAAAATCTCTGCAGGCAGAAAGACCTGTGCTGTGCACTCCTGCTCTCCTGCCTCTCAGTGCAAAGTAATTTGGTGCCTCAAGGTCTCAGGCAATATACTTACCTCACCTCCAAACTCCCTCCCTCATGGAGGTTCATTACTGCATTTTTTAATATGCTCTCTCACCCTCCTTCCTTTCTCCATCTACACGCCATTGTGCTGCTGGCTTTTTTTTTTTCCTTGTAATTCACTGGCCAGCAAGTACACAAATCTCTCTTCCCTCTGGTGAAAAACCCTAGCATGCCATGATGTTGCCCTGCAGCTCTTCTGCACCTAATGCCCCTACTGAGCACTAGCTGGCAGTAGCCTCTAGCTATGGGGTTCAGCTATGGGCATCAGCTGTGGGGCTCCCCGGATGAAGGCAAAGATGCCGCACTGTGTCCCCAGGCACTGCAGATTTGTAACGCCGCTTTATTCCTCTTTTTCTTGATCTCTCAAGGGTGCCAGCTCATCTGGAGCTGGCAGCAACTTGAGACATGATTAAGAGTATCAGACAGAGCTACTCAAAGGCAGTGCCAGCTCCCTGTGTAGTCAAAGAGTATGTCTGCACACAGAGATGGGAAGTGTGGGGGGACCATTGTGGGCTAATCCCAAGGCCTCACTCTTTGCTTATGCTTTCACTTGGGGAGAAGCCTCCAGGTAATGTTTTGCATGTTTGTGAGCAGGGGTTTCTGGTCTCAGTCTCCCTCAGGAGGTTATTTTCTGGCACAGAGGACACATCTTGCCCTGCAGGGCACCTCCTATATCATCTGCTGCAGCTTCATCCCCTCCCAGTCACCCAGTGAAACCCTTCTTCTTCCTCACTGAGCCCCTAAGCAGGGTGCTGGCTCTGCTGTTCTTGGCCATCCTCCTAAGTCCTCCTGGATGGCCACCCTGTTGATACCTTGATGCAAAGCCCATCCAGTGTAAGGATGCTGTTTGGATCCTTAGGACAGCTGGTGGCAGCTCATGCTCTCCTCTCACTAACTCCATTGTCCACTCCACATGATGTTCCCACAGGGACTGTCCCTGGATACATCACACCAGAGTGTGAAGGCTGCAATATGGCATGGCACTGGAGACATCTATCTTTCCTCCTTCAGACTCCTTTTTATGAACCCTACAATTCCCACTGACTCCCACACCTCTGCTTCAGTCCTTTGGAAAGGTAGGACTGAAGGAGGAGGCTTGGAAAAAGGCTTCCTGCCTCTAGCACCTTGACCCTTGCAGGCTGAGAAAGTAGGTCACTTGGCTATGGTGAGGGGTAAAGGGTTTGGTAAGACAGATGCCAGAAACTGATACAAGGGATGCCAGGTGAACTGGCAGCACCAGCATGAAATAGTCTTGGCATTAATTTATGATGAGTGTGTTCCACGTTGCAAGATTCTCCCAGTGTATGTGTATTGCCACTGCGTTCAAGTTCATGGGGTACCAGTAGCTGGATCGTCTCTCTTTGTAATGGTAATCAAAAATAGCAGTTTCCAAGAAGGACAAGTCATTGCCCGATGCTGGCAGTCTTCAGATGCTGACACTGCATACTCACATGATTTCACACACAGCAGTCTTGGAGACCCATCCAAACGTTGCAATTTCAGGGTAGTCTGAGTGCTTGTCTTGAGTTTGAGAGTACAGACCCTGTACCAGGACTAACCTGGAGACCACAGGTGAGATCACTTAGGAAGTTTGGAGCAAGAGCTGGAGAGCTTATTTTCAGGTGTTTTATCTCCACCATTAAAAAAGAGGTAATTTTAAATGTTTGGGTGCTGGAATGAGCAAATCAAGCAAAAAGCTCAATAGAAAATCGGAGCAGAAGACCTTTCATCTTTGAGCTCCTGGGACAAACCCAGACTTCAACACTACACATAAAATTGTTCTTTAGAAGATACCGTCCAGGTTTTGCTAGGATAGAGTTAATTTTCTTCTTAATAGCCAGAATAGCTGTGTTTTAGGTTCAGTGTGGGACTTGTTATGAGAAGAATGTTGATAAAAGTACTGATGTTATTAGTTGTTGCTGGAGCTCAAGGCCATTGTCTTTGGCTGATTCACAGCTGCATTAGGACTGGGAGGGAAAAGCACAGTAAATTGCAAAACCTGAAATTAACATTTGGCTCTGCCAATGAGATATTCTATATCATATCACGTCACGGTCAGTGCATTAACCAGGATTGACCAGAAAATGGTGGTATTCTCTTAGGGATCTCTCAGGATCCAGGATTGCGGTTTGGGGACTGTCTCTGCTACAGGATCGCTGGCTGGGACAGGCTGGGCATTGGTAGGTGGGTGGTGAGCAATTGCACTGGGCATCACTCATTTGTGTGTTCTGTTATTACTGTTATTATCATTATTATTTTATTACAATTAGTAAATTGTTTTTATCTCAACCCATGAGTTTTCTCACTTTTACCTTTCCAGTTCTCTCCTCTACTCCCTGGGTAGGGGGAGAGTGAGAGAGCAGCTGTGTTTGTCTGCAAGCGAAAGAAGTGAAACCATCACAGTCTATTTTGGTGTCAGAAGTGGGACTCGAACCCACATCTCTTATTAAAATCAAAACTCTTCAGAAGTTTAATGAGCTGCTTCTTTGCCTTACAGAATATTGGCAAAAAGATGTCGTGTCAACAGTTCATAGCAAACTTGGATGGACTGAACGATGGGAAGGACTTTGCAAAGGATTTGCTGAAGGTAAGGTGATATAAATAGACAGTGGGATACTATCGTCGTTATTATTGTAGTGCCACCTAGTCCTGCTGGGACACTCTGAGCCCTTGAATCAGCATTTTCTGGGGCACAATTGTTTCATTAGAAGAATTGTAACCCACAAGGATAGCTTCTGCTAACTTGCAGTGAGCCACCAGAGGTCTGTTCCCTGGTGGTGTTTTATCCAGATTTGTGGCATATCTGCCCTCAGAGCATACCAGGTATCCCCCTCCCCCTGCAGTAGCTCTGTGATGTACCAGACAATGCACAGAACTAGGTACCCCAAAATATGACCATCTGGCACTGATACTTTTCTCTGCCTTCACTTCCGTGTAATTAGATGTAGTGCTGCAACACAACTAGTTCAGTACCATGGGTTACTGGTTAAACACCCTGAAGTGGGTATTTTCTCCTTCCATGTGGTTTAACACCATCATTGTTGTCTGCACTTGCTGCATGTCCAGCAGCCTGACCTGGATTTTGCTGTATGGAAGGAAGTTGAAAGGACCAGTGCCACATCAGAGGTGTCACATCGTATTTCAGACAACACTCTTGCCTCCTAGCAGACCTCACCCTACCCTACCCCTCAGTATAGTCATGGTCTCCTCCATGTTGTGCTTTCCTAGCCCATTCCTTCTTCTTTCCCAGTGCCCCAGGGAATTTTGTACAGAAGGAACTGGAAAAGCTAATCCCCAAGGTCAGTCATCCTTCTGCTTCACAGGGCAGCATTCAAGCCTCCACTGTCCCTTTCCCCCAGTTGAGACACTGGAGGTGTCTTGACATACCCCAGAGTCTTCTACCATCTTTGTGTAGGCTAGGACTCACTCAGGACTAGGTGCAACACCCAGAATTAGTAAAAACGTCATATACAGGCTCCCAAGCAAGGCTGGCTGCCAGACCCCTCTACTGCTGATGTGTCCAGTCCAATATGTAGCGTGGCACACGGACAAAAAAGGGTCTAGCAGGACAGCAGTTGTGCTGCTAACAGCTGAATACTTCTCTGGGACAGTTCAGCAAGGAAGGTATCTCTCCAAGAACACAGAGAGAATGTGAAGGAGGTGGTCTCCACAACCCAGACATGTCTTCCATGAGAGACACAGCTAATACCATGGTCTTGTTTCAGGCACTATATAACTCCATCAAGAATGAGAAGCTGGAGTGGGCCATGTAAGTATATGTTAATCACTTGAGAGATAGTGTGTCTTTCAAAGTAGCTGACATGTCCTGAGTCATTTTTTGTAGCCCCAGAAGCTCCCAGAACATTTCTTGCCATGCCCTTAGCACTGAAGTTCCTCCTGTAGGCAAGCTGATTTTATTTATAGCTTAGACACAAAAGCAGATGGGGAGGTTGGTGGCAGTCTAGGCACAATCTAAAGGATGGGAATGCCCTCTTTGTTTATTTTAACATCTATAAAATGCTGATCCCTCTTCTGGTGCTTCAGAGATCTTTGCACAAAGAGCTCAAGGTCTGGGGTTATTTTGGTCACTGAGACTTTACATCTCTTCCACTTTCTTCTGAAAATAGTATTAGAGAATCACTCAGGCAGGAAGGGACCTTGTGAGATCTCCAATCCAGCTTCCTCCTCAAAGCATAGTCAACATTGAATTCAGACCAAGATGCTCAGGGCTTTGTTCAGCTTGAACCTGAAAACCTCCAAGGACAGAGATCCCACAGCCTCTCTCGATACATGAACCAATGCCTAATTATTCTAAAAGTGACATTTTTTTTCTTAACCATTTGAAACTGCTGTTGTTTTGACTTATGCTCACAATCTTTTGTCCTCCTGCCATGCACCATAGTGAAGATCCTGGGTTTGTCCCTTCAATAACCTCCTCACACATACTGGAAGGCTACCATGAGGTCCCCCAAAGCCATCTCTTTTCTAGGTTGAACAAGTCCAGTTCCCTTAGTCACTTCCTACATTGCAGGTGCTCCAGCCCCCAGGCATCTTGGTGGCCTCTGCTGAACTCTCTCCACCTTTTTTATGCCATTTCCTGTATTGGGGGCCCAATACCATTTGCGGTATGAAGATATGATGTGATAAGTGCACAGTAGAGGAGTCTCCTCATTGTGCTGCTGTTACATAGCCCAGAATGCTCTTGGTCTCTGTTTCTGTCAGGACACACTGGCTGGCTCCTGTTCATCCTGCTGTTCACCAAAAGCCCCAGAGCTC